AGTGGTTGAGGCAGTTTTTTTGTTCTTTAAAAAAAAAAAAAACCCTCAAGTTTTTTTGGCTAGTTTAGGGGAAAAAAAAGTAGTGCTTGTGGTCATGAGTAAGTATGGTGCAATTTCAAGCAGTCCCAGGTTTCTGCCAGCAGCTGGGGAAGGCAGCCAGAGCCCCCGCACTGTCGCACAGGGATGCGAGCGTGCGGTGGGGACGAGGTGGGCTGGGACACCGGTGTCCCCTGAGCTGCTGGTGGAGCTGGCCCCGGCACTGCTTGCTGTAGGTCAGGGCATCCAATGGGATAACGTTGGTCTGGTGCAGAATGGTCATTTTTAGCATCCCTTCACAGACCTGTTGCAAGAGCGGGATATCTCCATCACTGTTGAGGTTCACCTGTCTATATTTTGGAAAGACTCTAATTTCTACAATGGGAATTAAAAGGGGATTTAGTTTTACGCAAGTCAAACTTTGTGGAGCCTGTGTGAGAGGTTTTGGAGGCAGATGTAGTCACTGAACTCTCCTGGGCTTGGGTTTCGTTATGGCTAATAACTTGGTGATAAATGCCAGTGAAGCAATTCCGAGATTTAGTAGGCAGCAATACTCCAGTGAACGAGAGGAGCTGGGGACAGATATATTTTGTTCATTGCCTGCTATTCATCAGGCAGTTTGCTTTACTTGTCCCGATGCATATACCAGGGCTTCATATCTGCATTGCTTCTCAGAAGGGAAGACTAAAAGGTGATTTAAATAGAGCTGTTATCAGCAAAGGAAAGTCGCAGTATTTTGCACACTAATTTTTTGGACCTCTTTTCTTTGTGGACTGTTTTCTGATTCAGGTTGTCTAACAACATTGTTAAGGAGATTATTTTTAGGCTTTTGTTTTGGTTTTTCTCCAAAACACCTGCAAATCTCACATGGAGAACTTTCCTCCTTCTCTGCCCAGTTATTCAAAATATCATATCTTTCCGTGCAAATTGACTTGGGGACCTTAATCAAAATATCAAACCAGACATTTTTGACATTCATTTCAAGAAATGCAATTTGAAAAAAGCTTGCTATGTTAGCCGCAAAAGCTTTATAGCAAGATAAACAGGTTTTAAGGTTTCAAAGTGCAAACCTAGATAAAAGATTTCAAACAGGATAAAAGACGTGTGTGATAGCACTAGATCCGTTTGAACGGTACAAAGGAAAAATAATGCTAACTTTTCCAAGTTTTCTAATTGAGTAATCACAAACTATAATTTCTGCAAAGACCAGTTGGTATTTGCAGAGGCAAAAGAAGGTGGGGTGGCAGAGCAACAATTCTCTTGGCACTTGGCTTATTCTGACTTTAAAACCTCTTGAATGTAGATACAGATGCTCATGTTTGTGGGTTCTGAGCAGTTTTGGCACAGAAACAAGGTCTGGAAGCGGTGGTGGCATTTGAGTGATTTTTGAATTCGTAGTAGTGAGGAGATAATTTCTCTGGGAAGCACTGAAAATAATTCCATTTACAGACCGTTTTGGTCATTACCTGGATGGGAAAGAAACAACAAAAAAAAATATCAGCAGCACATGTTGTTCTTTACAGTGCTGCTCAGAGTAAAGGATGCCAAGAGGCAGTTGGCTGCCAGGCTGCAGAAAGCACAGGGGTATGGAGAGCAGCAAGGAAATTCTGATACTTGTCTAGATGTCCTTGCTTCTGGTCTATACCATCTGTTTCTGTAAGGGTTCAGGGATTAATGCATCAGATCTGTAAAAACGTCTGCTTCTGCTCTTTGGACAAGCACAACTGCAACTTGGATCCCAGACTAAACAAACAGGAGGTTTTCGTAGAAGTGAACTTGGATTTTTCCACATTTCCTCCTGTAATCGGATATTCATAATGACACATTGCGTTTTCGATGTGCATTTTAAATATGGGACTGGACGTGTGACTTTTTATGCTTAATAAACCAGTGTCTCCAATATTAAGGCTGAGAGATGAAGCAGAGATTGGAGTTTGAAACTTCTGTTCCCTCTTTCTTTAGGCCTTTAGAGTTTGCAGGATCCTCCTGATGTGAGCTGTTGCTTTGTGCTGTGTTTTATTTTCCTCACTCAAACTTTTACACTCAATGTTACTTCAGGGATTGACAGAGGAATCCTGGGGAAAGCCAGGGTGTATGCTTTGACATAAAGATTCTCCATCCTTGTTGCCTGCTGTTGGAGAAGACCCTTGGGAGGTCATTTGGAGACCTTAAAACTCCAGAATTTAACTTTTTTGTGCTTTTTATTTGCAACTATTATTATAAAGCATCCTCACTTTGCAAAAACTGCAGTCTTCCCCTTATACTTCCATCATGTGCAGCCTAGAGAGATTTGCAGCCTGACATGTTGCTGCTCTTTTGCTTCCAGGCTCCTCAAGGCGGAGACGACCTGGATAAAGATTTCACCGAGGAAACAATAAAAGAATATGATGGGAATTATTATGATAACTATTACGACCGAACAGTCTCTCCCGATATTGGCCCTGGCATGCCTGCTAACCAGGACACCATCTACGAAGGGGTAAGAGTTAATTTTCCATTGAGGGTAAGACTAGTTCAAAATGCTTGTCCTTCCCGTAATTTATAGCATAGAGATTAGCAACTCAAAAACCAGTGAGAACATCTCGCTTGGATTCATCCACCTGCAATGCATGTGTTTTGCACAAGGCGAGGAGGAGGTGCCCTGTTTCTTTTCTACACGAACATCAGCAGTCCTTTGGTTGCAGAAGTTGTCCCAGGATCTCCGGTTCCTGCTGGGAGCGGTGATGCTGATGCAGGCAATGTCCTCTTTGACTGTTGGCCTTGTGTTTCCCTTGTGTGCTACAGATCGGTGGCCCACGGGGCGAGAAAGGACAAAAGGGGGAGCCTGCGATTATTGAGCCGGTAAGGACCCTCTGGTTTTTTTGGTGGTTTGATTTGCTTTTTTCCTCCAAGGAAAAGGTACAAGAGGTATGCTTGGTATGGCTTGGTGCTCTTAGTGGTGCAGCTGGGAGGAAAATTTCCTGTGGAAGAATTACTTGGTTCATTTAAAAACTTTTAATATAAAATACTGTAATTATTTTTTTAAAAAACTTCAAGAAGTGACCTAAGTTATGAAGGAAGTGCAAAATTTCCCATGAAATCTCTCGTTTACCAAAATAAAACCCTAGGCCTTTCAGAACTGAAGCATTAGGCAGAGGGCATGTCTCGCCTCTCCGGAGGTTCTGAAGTGCCCCCGACTCGGCAGCGAACCCGCTCCCCCGAGTGCCCGCAGCCGGTGGCCAGGTCATATCCTGACCTGAACTTGCAGCTTGGGCCCGGCTTTAATTGTGCAACTAATGGGGTCATCTCTCTGGAAATAAAAGGGTTCTCCCTGCACACAGCTGCAGGAGAGAGGAGAGGTTTGCTCCTGCGCCTGCTCCAGGGTCCCACCAACTTTCCACTTTCAGAGCCAACCCTGTGTCAACCTGGGAGTGGAACCCAGCACTTTCTTTATGATTCTGCCCTGGCCTGTTTCTGAGGTTGTTTTTCTTTCTAAAGAACGGTTATAAACTGCCTGTGCCCTTTGCAGTCTGCACAAAGTGTGGGTGCCCAACTGAGCACGCCCTTAGGTGAGGTGAGGATGGAGCAGCTCCCCGCTGCCCTCGTGGTGGGGATGGCTGGTGTTTACTCAGAGGTGCCCCTTGAGCCAGAGCAAGAGGCTGCTGGATGACGGCCGTGTGTCTGTCCCTCATTGCGTGTCAGGATGCCGAGGTACCCCCCTGTCTGCTCCTCTCTGGGCTGGAAACAGGGCTTTGGGTCCTTGCAACCACCTCCCCTGAGCCTTGTCCCGAAGGGCCGATCGCATGCTCACTGCACACCAGCAACTCAATTAACCTAATTTTCCTTGGCAGAGGGCCAGTGCGGTGCCCAGCATCGGGGCGGCACTTCCCATCACTCAGAGGCCATTCTTTTTCTTTTAATTATTCCTCCCTTTTCTCCTTTGCCTGATGCTTTTGCAGATAGCGGGGCGGGAGGGGGCAGGGAGAAGCTGGGGTGCAGCAGTGGGGCTTGAAAAGCTTGCATGAGTGTGTTATAAAAGCATTTCCAACCTTTCCTTCCTTCTCTTCCTTTCTGTGTCTTGCTCTCACTCTGCAAACAAAAGGAAGAATGAGTGATTTTCTTATCAGAGATGTGGGAAGGGTGGGGGGCAGCCAAACCCCGTGAAGACGATGGCAGAAACCCAGCCTGCCCTGTCCAGAACCAATCTGAAATGCTACAAAGCGAACAAAATAGTTAAGTTTAATCATCCAGAAAGAATTTGGCCGCCTTTGCTATTTCAAAACACTGGAGCATGTATAGCTTTTGCCAGAAAGTAAACAAGACCAAATGCCGCCTTTTCCCTTTCTGTGCGGTTCCTCTTCAGCAGAGAGAAATTCAGATTTGCTCTGCTCTTCACTCTTTTTTTTTTTTTTTATGGGAGCTGCAGCAGAAGGGGAATAAAAACCAAATGCAGAAGTCGGATTCTGCTGGATGTTCTCTTTTCGGTCAAACCTCCTGTCCTTCAATCCTTGCTCTGTGCTGACGCTCGCTGGAGGCAGCGGGGCAGCACAGGCGCAGGGTGAGGAGGGATGCAGCCAGGGATGGCTGGGACCCCCTGCATCCCAGCGCTGGAGGTACCAGGCTGCCTTCGCCACCTCAAAGCCCTCTGTTCTTTGTGGGGGACCCTGGTGCTCACACCTGCCTTCGGGGAGGGTTTGATGAGCATTTGCATGGCACCTTTGTGTGCTGCAGCCAGCTTTTGGGCTGTTTCTGTGATATTAGCTTCACTTGTGGGTAGCACCTGGGTGTTGATTGAGTGGAAGCAACACCCTGTTTTTCTCTGGGACAGTCCCAAATCCATGGTGTGCTTGCTACCCCCAAGGCGATAGCCCTTGGTGCCATCCCCCCACTGGTCCTGGTCCCAAAACCCTCCCATGTTTCCATTGCTCCTGTTGATGAACAGTCATATAAACAGTGGAGGCTTCTTGCTGAGGAGACTCTCCAGATGTCCCTAAAGCTAGAGCTCAACATAAACCAACAGATAAATATGGGAAGATGCCAAGGATGTTTGCATTGCAAATTGGCTAATTAGCCCAGACTTCCCCCCTGCGGAGGAGCATCCCGAGCCTCTGCAGCCGGCCATGGGAAGCAGAGCCTCAGTGCTGTGCATGCTCAGACCATGGTAATGCTGGCACCTAGCAGCCCAAAAATGTCTTGGGGAGACCTATGTGGGCTAGGGTGCTCTGCACCAGCCCAGAGACAATTATTAATTTCTGTTTTGGAGCCTGCCACACCAAAATGTGCCATTGTTGGTCTCAAGAGGGATGGATGTTGGGTCGTCCGTATGGGGAAAGGTTTGCTGGGACCTCTGGGGCTTCCTGTGCAATGTCTTCATCGCGTGTCTGAACAGGAGCCAGTGCTTGGTGAGTGTCCTGGGGGACACCTCCATCAGTGTAGCTCGCCTCTTCTTGGTAGCCTCCAACAGCAAAGAGCTCATCCTTAGTGCAGGTTGGAGGAATGTCATGTAGGGTTCACCCCTAATTCCCACCCAGGAGAGAGCGTTCCCACCCATGGCAGACAGTGAAACTGATGTCAAAACGGGCATGGGGCGAAGTCCATGACCTAAATTCTTTACTGGTGAAGAATGACTGCACAAGTGCTTCTGTGATGACAGCAGCAGAAAATTTCCCCTAACACATCCAAATGAAGCGGAAGCCAGATTTTAAATGAGGTGGTAATGAGTAGTATGGACACTGGGAAAGGCAGAAAATAGTGCTGGCCATGCATTAGTGGTGCAGAAACATGCATCCCGCTAATGGAAGCAGGAACGGTTTGTGGCAGCATGTTTTACCCTATTTTTTTGCTCCTCTGGGCTTAGCAACTGTGGCTTTGGGGGCAGGAAT